ACTGAACAAATTTTTTCCATGTTACCTTCTCACGGCTCTAAAGTTAAAATGTTTCCAGTTCATAGACTTAGGTTATAAGTTTGTAACCTCCCAGTTAGAAACCTGCAGCATGGCAATTTGAAAACTTGCATTGTTGGTGATTCCCCCTGACAGCTCCCGGGAATGAGTGTTCAAACTTCAGTGGTACAGGGGATACATCGCTGGCTGAGAGATGCTCGGCTCCTTGAGCTGAGCAGAATCATCTGTGTCGCTGTCCTGTCATCCTGTTTGCCAAGGGCCCTGGCACAGGGATGACAGAGAACACCGTGCAGGTTCAGAACAGAAAGGGCCAGCTGTGACAGCTGCAGCTGGCCTAGAGCTGCACAGATCATTTGGCCTAGCAGACACCAACTCAGCCAGCCTAGCTCAGGAGAAGAGAGAAGTAAACAAGTCCCCAAGCCTGCGAATGGTAGGTTTGATTTAAGTTCACACAGGGACTGCTGCTGATGGTGCAGACACGATTGTGACATACACGCACCAAAGTTCATGCAGCAACAACCAACATCTATTGAAGTGCACCCCCTTCCACAGGGCTTTGAATTTCCTGCTTGCTCTTGCAGGCATGACTGATAAAGGTCTAACTCTGCCCAGCTCACTGGCCAATGCTACAGGTGCTTTGGCGGCTCAGAGGGATTGGCTGGGGTCCCCTTGTTTGAGCTTGAATCCAGCCTGTCATTCTCAAACCTGGGCACTTGATTACTGCTGCTGCCTAATGAGCTGGGCTGGTTGAGTTGGTGTCTGCTCTGCCAAACTACCTGTGCAGCTATAGACCACCTCTAGCTACCACAGGGGATCTCAGCCAATCCCTCTGATCATGGATGCACTGCTATCATTGCCCAATGGGCTGGGCAGAGTTCAGATCTTTAGCCAATTTCCTTAGTGTGAGAGTGGATTTGAAACCCCTAGAAAAAGACCTTTCAGACAATAAACCTTGGCTGTTGCTGCATGAGCGTGGTGTGTGCTTGTCCCATTCCTGTCTCCAACACCCAAGGGACACAAAGGTGTCCCTTGCCTGGGGAGCTTGCCTGCCAGCCCCCTCCTGTCTCAGAAAACATCTCACTGAGCCCACCGCAGCCCCCAGGAAGCTTCTCTGGGGTGCAGACAGGCTGGAAGGCGCTGCTGTGCCTCGGTGCTGCTGGCCACTGCGGACTGTCTGCCCTGTGCTGCTCACAGCCCGGCTCCGTGCCGGGAAAGGAGCCGTGGAACACGGATGCATCGCCCGGGCTGACGGCAGAGCCCGGGTACCCGCTGTTCCTGGGCAGCTCGGCATCCCTGGGGGGCTCAGCATCCCTCAGCGCTGCCCCCAGCCTGGCACCCGCTGTCCTCGGCACGTAGGGCTCCAAGGGGCTGGGAAAGTAACTCCTGGGCTCCTGGGACTTGAGGTAGGTGCTGGGAAAGGGCTCCCTGCTTCCCACGTAGCCAAAGCTGGGCAGGGCACTGGGCTCCCCCACAGCGGGAGCCGGGGGGTGGTAGAGGGGACCAGATCTGTGGGGTGACAGCGGGTATGGGGGGGGTGGGAAGCACATTGCTGACCTCTCCTGGATCACTGGGCTGGTATCAGGTGGCTGGAGCTTGGGCCAGGGGTCCAGGCAGAGGCTGGGCACCTCTGGCACCTTCTTCTGGCTCTGGGCAGAGGGACAACTTGCTTCCAGGAACGGGGTGCTGGGGGGTGGCGGCCCATACTTATCAAAGGTGATGCAGTAGTGGGGTAAGGTGGCTGGGGAGCTCATCTGCTCTGTGGAAGGCAGGGCCAGGCTGGAGGGCAGTGGCAGAAGGCTCTGGTTGGCACCAGTACTGCTCTTGTGGGGCTCGCTGGGGTGCAGAGGGTGGGTGGCAGGGGGTAGGGCCCAGTTTGCCTCCCCTGGTCGTTGCTGCAGGCTCTCTGTTTGTGTTCCCAGTAGCAGAGCCATCCTGGGAGCCAGGAAGGAAGCAGGGGCTCCATACACCGGCTTGGGGACTGCTACAGGAGCTGCCTTCTTCACCACTACTGGCTTCTTCACCGGCAAGGGACACCTGGGACTGTCCAGCTTCTTTCTGGCCATAAGCTGCTCCTGGCTCAGGCTGTCCTTGCTCTTCTGGGTGTCCGGGGGCTGCAGCCTGGTGCCCAGGCTCTCTGCTGGGTACAGCAGGAAGCCCAGCAGTGGCCCCTCAGCTGGCACAGGCTGGCCCAGGGCACCGGGGCTGTAGTGCAGGTAGGTGGGCGTGGGGCTCCAGCCAGCCAGGGGCTGCTCAGGGCCCTTGGGGCTCTGCAGCGGGCAGGCAAAGTAGGAGCCCTTGTAGCTGAAATGGTTTTCAGAGCCAGGGTGGGGCACGGGGCTGGATGTGCCTGGGATTTTGCCGGGCAGGAAGCTGGGGGCGGGCTCCAGACGAGGCAGCTTCTTGAAAATCACGGGCCCTGCAGACCGCGAGCACCGTTTGGAGGCCATTTACACCTTGGTGCCCGTGTCCCCACAGGAGAGGTGAGCTGGCCTACCTGGAAAAGAGAGAGAATGAGCCATGAGCAAATCAAGTCCCCATAGCAGCAGCCTGTGATGGCACAGGGTGACACAGGGTTACAAGCCACCGCATGAGGTGAGGGTGTGGTGGCTAGCAGCTGGCCTGGAGGCCTGACAGTTACAGATAACCCTAATTATAACTTGACCAGTCCAGGCCGTTGGGGAACCAGTCTTGGCCGTTAGGCATGCAGGCAGCCATTGGCCAGTAAGCCGGGCGGTAACTAATTTCAGCCAATCAGGACCAACCACGCGGGATTTCTGAAGCTATATAGAGATGTCACGACCTGCTAGTACAAGCAGGGGTCCTGATGGTTTGTTTTAGTGCAAAACACTCAGAGTGCAAAAACACACAGCAGGGGACTTTCAATGGCAGCACGGCACTTTTATTGAGTGCCAACAACAATTATGTGACAGAGAAGAGAGACAGATGTAAGAAAGCAAAGTAAAGGAGAGAGAGAGAAAAGGGGGTATAGCTACCAACGGAGAGATGAAGTCCTCGTGGTCCAGCCAACAGATTAGTCTTCATTCCGTCAGAGATCACCAAAATTAACTCAGAAAGTTACTTATTTATAGTCTTCGTATAAAGCGAGTGACATATGGCCAAGAGGTGCAGAAATTCATGAGCTATTGTGATGAGACCTGCTGCTCCATGAAGCAGGTGTAAGAGTACAGAGCAAGTCACTATGGACCAGTCCCTGCCCGAAGCAGTGTACCGTGGTGGCACAGCAAGCACACCTGTGAACAATCACTTGGCGAGCATCCACCTCAACCAGGCCAGAACTCCAGTCAGGATCTTCAGATCTTAGTCTCTGTCCTTGCAACGGGCGTGACACAAATGAGGGAAACTTTGGGCTGTCTCTTACAAAAGGGATCTGCATGCAAAAAAAATTTGCTGTTGCCACGTGAACCTTGAGTGTTGTGTCGTGTGTCCATCTTGACTGTAAGAGGTGGTGAACCCAACGTGATTGGCAGCAGCTTGCCCTGCAGAGAGCGGGGAGATGGAGCCTAGTGGAGAGGCAGCCAGGTGAGCTGCCAGGAGTGCACAGAGCTGCAGAGAGTCCAGACCATTGCAAATAGAAGAAGTGTCCACTGGGAACACGGAGACTCAAGTCTCATTGGAGGAAAAGGCTGTTTTACAGGTGTGGACCCTCTTTTTATGCAAACTGGGATAAAATATTGTGAACAGGCTCTACAAGCCTTGCTGTCATGGTGTAAGAGGCCTGGACTGGGCACAACCATGGATGCTGCTTTTCATGTACAAACAAGGGAGCAGGCTGGCGATCCGATATTTGACTCTACCTCATGAGGTGACAAAACAACTAAAGACTTTTAAATGACCTGGCGTTTGGTACTGGACACTTTAAAACAGATAAAAGTCGAGTGGAGGGCAAAAGCCGCAGCTGAGGCGCTGTGGGCACACGCACTGGATTTCCCGTAAGCATGGACAGCAGGGGGAATCCGGGCAGGAGTGAATGCCACCTCAGGCGTGCGGGCAGAGAGGTCGGGCAAGAAATCGACAGGGGAGCAGCCATTACCAGAGCCCCCTGTCCACTGTACCCCGCCAGCAATGGAGGCGTTTGCACAGCACTGAGCCCGCCCACATCGCGGCCACCGGAGCCATCGCTGTGCTTCGCACCGCTGCTAACGGGCTCGGCACGCCCCTGCGCGCAGCTGGGCGGGCAGCTCAGCACGGCTTGGCACACCCACCAACGGCGCGGGCAGAGCCCAGAAGTCAAGCAGTGCCCAGTGCTGGAAGGGAGCTTGCCAGTGCCTGGGACTGCAGGACGTGGTACCCTGCTGCATGCACAGCCAGGGCTTGGGAAGCCCAAGGAACGCTTTTCATTATTAAACTCACAACATCCTAACAGGGGGAACCCAAGCTATCACACTCTTGCTGACCTGCAAGGGAACACTTCCAGCGCACTACCAATCTCCAACTACAATCTGGTCAGCTTCTGGAGGCAGGTAAAAGTGATTGCCATTGCAGATGGGGATCTCAAAGGCACGGAAAAGATCTCTGTGTCCATGCCTCCACTGTCATCAGGTGGCTCAAAGCCTATGGGCGGGACGATCGGAGCTTTCCCAGTGCTGAGATGTTTCCCCCAAATGGCAGGTCCTCTCTGAACTGCACCAGCCAGCCGCCAAAACTGCACTGTGGTCTCCGGCAGTAGCAAGGATGTTACTGCTTCTTACTGCCAAGGAGACGGCACCTTCTGATATCAAACAGATAGCAAAGCTGCTCTGTACCCCACTTCAGTATATGATGTTCGAGTTCACCTGGCAGCGATCTGCAAAGGATCAAAAGCAAGCACAATTTAGAGGTACCGCAGCAAGATCCACGCTTTGGAGCTAGGATTTCTCAGCTTATGGGGCTCATACCGACTCAAGAGGTATTCCATGATCAAACGGAGCCCCACGGAACCACGCAATTCATAGAGAGGACACAAGATGCCATGGAAAAGCAAATAATAAATAATGATGCAAGAAATCAATAATTGAAAAGTGACATGGGATAATGCAAATGAGGACTGCAAAAGGGCTATAGATTTGTTACCAAAAGAAAATCCATCCTGAAATAAACTAATTTATGATGTGCTGAAGTTAGGACTAAATCAGATAGTATTGCTTTGTTAACTGATTCTGTCTTGGTTTGAAAGACAGGTGTCTGCTAATGAAGGCAGGAGCCTCCCTCGGAATGGAAAATGTAAACTCCATCCCTCTGACTTACAGTGTGGAATTTAAGGGGCTCTCAGGCAAAGATATGAGAATAGGTATAACAGTTCTTTACTGGTATGTATAAATTTTAAAAAAACCCCTACAATTTAATAGGAATATTAAAATAAAATGTAGTAGTACAAAAAAAAGCCCAAAAAACCAAAACACTGATAGAGTCAGAATATGACCTGACACCCTGTGGGTCAGGGTGTTGGTAGCAGTCCAATTAAATTAAGTGGTCGCTGCACTCCACCTGCAGTGACAGGTATGGTTCTGCTGGAGCAGGGATCCTGTAGAAGGGTGAATTTTCCCGTGAAGGTCCAGTGGTAACGTAGAAGGGTCTGGTCTTCCTCTGGGAATTCAGTGGGCAAAAGCTGCTGTGGCGTTTCATATGTCAGATTCTACCCAGGCAGGAATGCTTGGCTCCTCCCCCTGGGTGGAGCATCTCACAATACGATGATGGAATTTTATCAGCCCTGCAGGGACACTCAATGGCCCATTAACAGGAGATATCTCCCCAAGGGAGGATAGGTCATGGAAGAGATAAAGAACCCTGCCCCACCTGGTTTTAATGGGGTTAAGATGGCAATAGAATATATACTTTTGGTGACATCTTGCATTGCAACCCAAGACAGATTCTTTAGCAGCTGCTGTTAACACACCGATGTTATGGCTGTAGGCAACAAGGTCACCTGAAAGTGAACTGTCCCTGTAAGTCTAACCCACTGGGGACATATCAAAAGCAGAGGCATGATAGTTTTAAAGTTAACAGTTTGTAAGCAAGTTAAATGCTATTTTCTTTGTCTGTATAACTGGGTTATGAATGTGAATAGTGTGCAGCATACCACCCTGAGAAGCTGTGCTTGATGGCTCTTGGACATGCTTAAAAAATCCTTTTTGATGGTATGTGGAATACACAACAACTGGTAAGGCTAGACTTGAGTTGGAGTTGGATGCAGAGACTCACCCGACCTAGGCTTATTATTTGTGTCAATTATTTTGGACATTGTGCAGTGTTTGTCATCCTGTCTGCAAAGGGCCCTGCAGAAGATGACAAACATTGCCTTTGCATTTAAAAACAGAAAGGGGGAACTGTGGTGGCTAACAACAGGCCTGCAGGCCTCACAGTTAAAGATAACCCCAATTCCAACTCAAGCAGTCTGGGCCCTTGGGGAACCAGTCTAGGCAGTCAGGGATGCAGACAGCCACTGGACAGTAGGCTGGGTGGTAACTAAATTCAGCCAAGACCAACCGTGTGGACTTTCTGAAAATACATAAAGGGAACTGCAATTAAAAAAAAATTCCTGCTGCCACATGAACCTCAAGTGTGGTGTCATGTGTCAGTCTCGGCTGCGACGTGAGGGCAACCCAGGTTCTTGTTAATTGATCCCTTGGGGGGATTAGAGTGAAACGATGCTGAATAAATGGTGTTTATAAATACATATATATACACAAATATGGGGTTTATTTTAGAATAATTTGGTTGCAGTGTTTTGGCTATTATATACTGTAGTAAAGCAATATAAAAGCAAAAAAAAATTCAAAAATGCCTATGGAAAAGAAAGGGAAGAAAAGGGTAAGAGTAGAAAGATCCCAGCACCCATGGATCTTCCAACAAGACTGGGAGGTCTCAATTCCACGGTGATGATCTCCCTGGGGTGAGGGAAGTGCAGGAAACACAAAGTTCCAGGGGTTAACATAATGCTCAGGCTCGGTGGGAACGCCCAGGTAACTCCCCTGGGTTAGGGAGTTTTACTCTGGATGATGTAACTCTGTGGATCACAGGACACCTGAGTGTATCTGTTTGCTTGTGACTCAACTGTTTGTAGGTGCAGTTGAGAGGCCAATTATGGCCCATCAGAGGGGATGAATATCTGCAGGCTATCTTTGAATGACCCCAAGCCCAGGGATGGACTCCCTGCAGTAGGATCTCCTCCATTTTTGGGTGGTTTTTCTCGTTTTGCGGCAGCGTTAGCAGAGAAGCCAAGGAGGAAATGGAGGAAGAGCACGTGCAGATAAGATAACAGCCACATCAACAGCAGGGGAAGCAGAGCAGATATGGAGAGAGACTTGTGGGGGAGATAAGGGAGCGAGCCACTGGTGCTGCTGCAGCTTTGTTGGGAGGGGACCAGAGCTTCCCTGCTCACCCCAAAACAGCACAGCTGAGGCTGCAGCCCTCCCTGAGCCTTCCTGGTGGGTTTCTCATGCAAGCTTCAACAATTGATCTCTTCCCAGGAAGGACACTGTTTCCCTGGAATTCCCTGGAAACCCCCACGGGAGCTTCCCTCCCTGCTTGTTCCCTTGGAAGCAGCTCCCCCACACACCATTTCCAATAGTTTTATCCTCAGGATAAGTGCTTGGGGCTATTCCCAAGATGTGCAGTACCAATTCAATTTGCCAGCACTTAGATCCAGGGAAAACGGCTCCCTTCAAATGGAAGCAAGCTTGAAGAAAACCCGTGCATGGGTTTTTTTCCTTCTAAAAGGGATCTCTTGGGAGGGTGGTGTTTAAGTCCATCTCCCTGGGAGATGCTGCTTGGGAGGGCCATGTAGGCATGGGACCCCTTCCCAGCTGGGACAATGTTAGGGGTGACAAGCTGGGACAGAAATCCAGGATCTTGTGAGGCCTGAAGTTTCCCCACAGCTGCTTCCCCTTCCCTGAAGCCCCGGGGATCTGCAACTCCCCACCGTGGGGATATTGTGACACGGGCCCCGCTGTCACCACGGGATCGGGTGACGCCACCCGGGCACGATGCAGTCGCCTTGTTTCACCCAGCTCCGAGTTAAATTCTGGCTGGAGGGCTGCAGAGCAGGACGAGTGATCCCACTGCAGGGCCGGAGACAGGCACAGGGATTGTCTGATAGGGCTGAGCTCATTAACGAAATTCGGGAGAGGGGCTCCCTCTCTCCATGAAATCCACAGGGACTCTTGTCCAACCAGTGCCATCCTCACACCTGCGCCTGGCCAGGAAAACTGCTCTGCTTTTGCTGTCACCATCAGCCTTTTCCCTCTGGGACTGTCCCAGCCAGCGGGCCAGGAGAGGGACACGTGGGAATCAGCGCTGGGGGGATGCTTGCAAGAAGCCCAACACACGCAGCCAGTAATTCCGAGACCCTACAGCTGGGAAAAGCAGCGGGTGGAATAAACACAACCCGTTATTCCTCTTTTGTAATATTCTTTCCTTTTTCCCCCCTTCCCTCTCCTCAGGGCTTTTTCCCACTCGGGGCCGTTCGGCCGGGAGGGAGTCAAAGTAAAACCAAGCGCAGGGGGAACCCGCGCCGCCAGCAGCGAAACCTCCCTGATAAGCTCCCGCGGGAGCCTCGGCTGCCGCGTTCCGGGTGTCCAAAGGACACGGGAGGGCTCCCGCTCCTCCTCGGCCTGCCAAGGCCGTGGGGAACACCTCGGCCTTCTCTTTTTGCCCCGACAGCTGCCAGCAATGCGCCCGGCCGTGTTATCAGCGGGGCACGCGGGCTCCCCGGCATTTCCTGCCCGGGATGCGGTGCCCGGAGCGGGAGCCTCTCCCCGCAGTCTCCCGCCTCCTCCATCGCCGCGTGATGCCAAAACCAGCCGCCAGCTCCCGGCCAACCCGCAGCCATCGAGCCATAAAAGCTCCCAAAGCCGCTGGCAGCCAGCAAGCCCAGCCCCCCGAGGCGCTGCGGCACGGGGGGTTCCCGGGCTCTCCCCGGACTCCAGCGGGAAGGAGGCGGATTCCCCCGGCCGGCTGCAATCCCGGTTTCACAACCTCGGCGACTTTGGGATCCTGCCGAGGAGCTCACGGCTCCCATGGCCGGCGGGTTCGGAGGAGCTCACCGGCACCGCTCCCCCAAACTTCGGGCATTTGCGGGAACAAACAAGAGGCCTCAGCCGTCCCAGCTCCCTCATTCCGCTGCTTGTCCCTTTTCCACCAAGTTTGCAGCTCCCCGGCTTCTCCCAGGCGGGCAAAAGCCCAGCCGGATCCTTGCCGTGGACCAAGCCAGCTGCTTTTCAAGGCAGTATCCCTCTGGAATGCACGCACCGAGCCACGGCTGCTCTGAGATTAAACTTGAATCCACCTCTCTCCCCCAAGAAATACTCGCTTGTATTTAAAAAAATCCCCAAAACTTCACGGAGCTATCAGCAGTCACCAGAAGGGGTGACCGCGTCCCCTTCTACCGGGGGGATTAAAACCCCTCCAAAAGGCACGGATCCCATCCCGGCCCATCGATGCCGCTCCCATCCGAGGTTGGGCACGGTCACGGCCGGGAGCCCCTCGCTGCTCGCAGGCCCTTGCCAGGACACGAGGTGTGGATGCGGCAGGGCTGGGTGGCCGTGGCCGTCCTTCTGTCCCCTCGGCACAGCCGCGGCCGCCGCATCAGTGCGGGCAACGCTGCGGCGACCCCCACGAGAAACCTCTCGCAGGAGCTGGAGCGCACTCACGCTGCGAATCTCGGCCGCATGATCCAAAGTGTCCATAAATGGGTAAAATCCCGGGATCCGCAGCCGCCCCGCTGCCCCCGCATCCCTCCGCTCCGCCGCGGCTCCGGGGGACGCGCATCCCTCCGGGCCCGCACTCACCTGCGGCTGCGGCGCGGTGCCCGCCCCGGCGCATCGCTACGGGCTCGGCCGGGGGCTCGCTGCGGACGGGGAACGGGGGGGCCGCTGCCCTCCTCGGCCGGCAGCCCGCCTTGTGCGGAGGAAGTGGGAGGAGGAGGAGGAGGTGGAGAAGGAGGAGCACTGGGTGTGCGTGTGGGCCGGCCGGAGGAGGGGAGGGGACGGGACGGGACAGCAGAGGACGGCCCAGACACGTGCGCGCTGAACTGGTCGGGGTCTGCCCCTGAGCTGGCAGCGGGGACTCTCGGGACGGGGACCTGCCCCGCGCTGCATGGGGGGACACCCGTAGCCGGGGAGCCGCTGTACGGAGGGATCCCCGTTGCAGCGAGCCCCCCGTTACAGAGGAGGCGCCGCATGGGGAGCCCACGGTGGTGGGGGGAGCGTTATTAAGGGCAGTCCTCATTTTACGGTGCCTCATTTAGGGGACCCCCATTTTTCGGAGGCCCCAGTGAAGGGGCCACCATTTCAGGCAGTCCCCATTAGGAACTACCCTCCTATTTAGGGGCGACCGCATTAGGGAGGAGCGACTTTAATGGCACTCTCCTTTCAAGCAGTCCCCAATAGGGAGGGAACCCCTGAAGGACCCCCCCACTTACAGGCAGTGCTCATTAGGGAGGTGCCCCCAATTACAGGCACCCCCATAAGGGAGGACCCCCATCGAGGGGACCCCCGGTGCAGGCGTTGCCGGCGAAGTCACGGCTCACGGCAGGTGGTGTGGCTGTGGAACATCGAGGGCTCGGTAAAAACTCCGTGCCGCCCAATCCAGTTTAGGGGCTCCACGGCCGCCTGAGTAACAAATTGTTCAAAAACACGCGCACAGCTCACCCCCACAGCAAAGACCTTAATATGTAACATTTTGTGATGAATTGGCGCTGCTTAATAAAGGCGTGTATCATCTTGAGCCATGAGTGCACCTCAGGCGGAGCCACCCGCCCTGTATCCGCGTGAAAAATAACATGTGCTTCTTAGAACTCCAGCGGTGTTAAGGAGTTTTATTTCCGAATTTCCGTGACACAGGCAGTCCCCGTGAAGAGGATCCCCCACTGCAGCCCATACACTGTGGGGATTCCTGTGAAACAGGAGCTCCCCCGTTGCAGAGCACGGAGGAGCCTTCCCCAGGCTGAGCTCACCGGGATGTGGCCGGAGATCCGGCTCTGGCAGGATACAACTCCTTGTGTCCACAAAAAATCACTTCCCCATCTGGTCTGCAGAGTCAGGGATCCGCTGGCAGCCTGGGGTGGCCTGGGGATGGCTTCTGAGCCCCCTCACGGTCACTCTCCGCCCCAAAGCAGAGCCCCTCCTCCTGCATTTAACCCCTGCCAGCCCCAAGCATTAACACGGAGCGTTTATCTAAGGAGTCGCGTCTGGAAAAGTCCATGCAAACATTCCCAGACTAATCATTAACCCTCATAAAAGGCACGTAAATATGATTAACCCAGTGACACAGATCCTGGGAGATTAAGTGCGTTGCCCAAGGCCCTGGAGTGAAGCAGTGGCAGAGGCTCAGCTCCCTCAGGCAGTGAGAAATAAGGATTTCCAAATGAAAAAGAAATAATTTCCCTTTTTCATTACTTCGTAGAACAAAGACCGAGAAAGCAGGGTTTAAAGTCTCCTCTCCTTGGCCTCACAAGCATTATTTTCCACTTACAGGTTTAATTTATAGCAGTTTTGTGGCAGCAGCCAAGAAAGCAAGGATCTGGGAGGAGCAGGCATGGAATTCCCAGTCCCTTGGCTCCAAAGTTTACACACCACTGCTTTGTCTGGAGCTCATCGATCAGGTGAGTGCAGGTGCTGCTATTAATATTCTCTTTGTCAAATGGTAATGCAATTAGAGAATAGTTATGACATTCAATTATGAGCTGTTACATATTAGTGTGCAACACAGAATAGTTAATATATATTAAAACAAACAAATGGGCGGATAATACAAGTTGTTATTTAGAATGATGGGCATTAAAACTATCAGTGTTAATTTTGACCTGACTGAACAGAATCACAATTCCCACAAAATGGCAGATAATCCCTTTTAACTTGACTTGGCTCATACATTTACATAACTTTACTCAAGAAACACCTTTCCTCATCCTGGTTTGGCCACATCCCTGCTGCCAGGTATCCAGCTGGACTCTGAAAGCTAAATTTCAACAACATTTTCTCAATCTTGCATTTCTCTGGTGCAGAAAGGGGAGTTTCTACCTGCTGTCTCAGCAAATACCTGCTGTTTTGTTCTTTCTCCTGTGAATTTCCTTCTCTCAGTTTCCCGTGTGGTTCATCGCTGCCTTAGCAACTCAGATGATCTGAGCTGCTCCTTGCCGAGGCATCAAACCTGCTGAAACAGGAGACACCAACTTAAAAAAACACCCCTCGTTATTTAACTTTAATTGTTTTATTTTTATATTCATTTTTAAAGACTTGGGAGTGTGTCTTTGGGGGTAAGGTAGGTGGTGATTCCCACTCAGGGCATGGCCATTCCCACCCTTTTTGCCCCTCCAGCCATCAGCATCCTCTGTTTGGCACCCAGTGATGGGAGCAGCCCCAGCATCCCCACAGGGTTGCTGTGAGCCCAGCGAGGTGAGGATTTGACTGATTCAGTCAAATTTTGTCTGTGTGGTTTTCAATTCTCTTTCTGAGGCTTCTCAGCATCTCTGTTCAATCTGTTGTTTGCTGGGCTGTTGCTCCCCCAGGAAACCTGCTGGATTCACATTGTCACTGCCTGCAGGGTCTCCAAATTCCATGTCCCTGTGGGACACCCCTCCTGGGGTTCACCCTGGCAGACACAGGGATGTGGGGGCTCCAGGTAGGATTACAGGCATCCAGGCAGCACCTGGAGTTCACTGCTGCTGCCCAGCCACACCACTTCTCCCATACCCCAAAAAGGGTTGGTTCTTGTCCCAGCTTTTGCTCCCCAGTTTGTCCAGGTTCTAATTAAGCCCCCAGTAGGGTTTAATCCCCTCTAGGAGGGCAGAACCCAGAGTGATACTGGCCAGGGGCTGGAGTGATGGAGAAAGGTGGGTGGTTCCCAGCTCACAGGCCTATCCATCGCCTCTTCCTGTGGCACATCTGTCCAGGAACATCTACCTTCATTCCTTTTCCCTTTTTTTCCCCTCTTCCCTTTGATTTGCTTCCCCATTAAGTCATGCTTTAGGTTTGGTAGAGATGAGCTACACAACTGATCCCCTGGTGACAGGGAGAGGTGGCACTTAAAGGTCACCTGCTGCCACAAACCCTGCAGCTTCCCTGGTTCTAAACACAGCAGCCCTTGGGTTTGCTCCTAGGGAACAGAGAACCCCTCTCCATGCCTCACATCATCTGGCAATCCCCCAAATCATCCAACAGAGCCAAAACAGAGATGGTTTCTTTGGCTCAGGAGCCATTTGGAGGGGAGTGGGAGATGGATGGGGTCCTCCTCTACAGCTGTAACATGTCCCATGAATGGAATGAAGGCAAATCCCCTCGGTCCCCCAAAAAATTCCCAAATTCCATCCCACTGCATGAAATTTGGGACACCAGCACCTGTTCTCTGTCCAAGAGGACAAGAGGGAGCTTTATCCCACCCCACCATCCCTAGGGCTCCTGCCAGGGACTTCCCAGCCTTGTTAGCAGCTCTTGCCTTGGAGACATCCTTGGTGGTAGCAGCACCCCTGATGAGGCTCTAATTAGTGAGCTAATTGGAATAAGAGAGCTGTACAGACAGTCCCAATGCACAGCCCGCTGCAGGAGAGGGACAGAGGAAAACAGGGAAGAGATGGAGTGGTGGGGGGAAGATTAAGGAGGGTTATAGGGAGGGCTCCCAACAGCTGCCATTGTGGTTAAATTTAAAGCACACTTATTGTGAAGAGAAGGATCCAGGTTTCCTCATCCCACTCATTTCTTCTGGAGCCAAGAAGGAGTTAAAGCCTTGGAAGCTGCCAGCTCCTTCCAAGCCTCCAAGTGACTGCTGGCAGAGAGAGAAGGAGACCCAAACATCCTCTGAAATGCCCACTCCCTCGTCTCTCTCTGTCCTGGAAATCAGATCACATGGTCTGAGAATTTTTTGGGGTGGGTCTTTACAGCTTCTCCCACCCCTCTTTGCTCTGGATCTCCTTCTATGAGAGATATTCTCCTTCTATTCTTTCTTCCTCTTTCCTAAGATCCCCTTTTAGGTTGAACTAGGAGAAAATTATGTCTGGAACTGGATGATTTTTGGAGTCCCTTACAACCCAAACCATTCTATGACTCAGAAAATATGGTGTGGGCAAGTCTGGTTGCTCATCCAACATTTTTCCAGCTTTATCTTCTTCAAAACTTTGATTTGGATCCTGCCAGGGCTTAGAGTTCTTGGTAAATAAATAAAAATCCCAACCTGCTCTGCTTGCTGCCCCAGGAAAGCAATAAAGACAAGGCCCAGCAACCCAGAGATGCAGGTACCTCATTACCGCTAGACAATTATCCATAGGTAATGAGATATCCAAGCCCCAGCAGAGCAGAGTGGGGATAAATCCCCAAGGGACATGAAAGATCATCACATTCCCACCCAGAATCAAGGAATCAAGCAGACCCCACCAGCCAAGAGGGTTTTTCTCTGCTAAGTCATTCCCTCAGCAAGCTGCTCTCCAAGGAACACTGAAAACAAAACTAATCCTGTTCTCCCAGGAGGAGGAATCCAAAAATAACCCTGTGGATGAATGAGCAGCACAAAGCCAAGTGCTGAGCTCGGGTTGAGTTTGGGAGCTGAAAGCTTTCCAGCTCCATGTTCCCACTTGAATTACTGCCCGGGCATTCACACGCCGTTCCCGCGCTTCATTATAAAAAAGCCGTGGTGTTTCTTTTTGCTTTTGTTTCCCAGTACGGGATGTGAAATCCTGCAAAACCCTGGGGGAGGATGCAGGGAGGGAGAAGCTCCTTGGAGCAGCCTGCAGGCTGGTGGAACCCATCCAAAGCTGGGGAGAGTCTCTTGTGCATGGGGACATTGGCCTGGAGTCCACAGCTCCAGCGCCAAATTCCTGGCTGGACTTGCTAAGCTTGGCACGTTTGGATGCTCCTCTGTGGGAAGTCCTGGCACAGTGGCAGCACTGGGGATGCTCCTGACATGCTCCCTGC